TACCTTTAGCTCAAAATTCTAAAAGAAATCAATATACCAGAGTGGCATGTTGTAGGCAACATGTCCTGAACACTTTCACAAACACATACACTCCTCCCATAGCACTGTAACACTGTTCTCCCGTTGTTCATCTTTTTGCTTGAACGAGCACCAGTAACATCTCCATTGTGAGACTTGTTATTACTGGTTTTGGCATATCGAATATGCCACGGGGAACTTGCCAGGTTCTGCTGTGTGGGCAGGATACTCTTGGTAGCTTGCCAAGCTCTCCAAGAGGGACAGAGGACCCAGGTTGGCTGCGTGCAAGGTGAACGCCCTACCTGCTGTGCTATGGCTCCAGCCCTCCCTCCTCCCATACTCTGCTTAACTATAAATCCCTATAAATGTTGGTATGTTATGTTCAGAATTGAAATTTATCTCTCCTGTCCAGAGTCCTGATGCCTATCAAAAATCCTGGATAAAAGTCCTTACTGTTTTATAAGTATTAAATAATTACCTTTTTTTTTTATAGTGACAGGCCTCAAACCCAGGCCCTCATACATTCAAAACAAGTTCTCTACCTCTTATTTACATTTTTTTACTTTTTGGTTCACACCCGGCAATACACCGGGGTTACTCCTGGCTGAGCACTCGGAAGTACTCCTGGCGGTGCTGTTCAGGGGACCATATGGGATGCTAGAAATCAAACCCGGGTAGGCTCCATGCAAGGTAAACGCCCTACCCGCTGTACTATCACTCCAGCCCAGTTCTCTACCTCTGGAGCTGTAGTCAGAATAATTTTTAACATTAGTAAGAGTATTAACCATTATCAGTGTGTGATCCCTGACTCTAGGAAAAGGTGGAAAATATCCCTCCAGGGTTTTTTTTTTGTTGTTGTTTGTTGTTGCTATTTTGTTTTGCTTTTTGGGTCACACCCAGAGATGCTCAGTGCTCTGCACTCAGGAATCACTCCTGGAGTGTGTAAACTCACACAAAAGGGGGCACGGCACTCAGTGGCGGTGGCTCTATCTTTCCCACCACCCGCGTTCAGTAGTCTCACCCTTCTCCCACCCCGGGGAGGTTGATGGTGATGGTCAGGCGGAGGAAGGAAACGAGGGCCAGGCTGGTTGGTATTAGTCACAGTTTATTCCAATCCTCTCTCCATCCAAACCAGTCTCTCTTGTCTGTCTCTGCTCCCCCATGCCCAATCTACAGTCTCATTATATCTCTCTCCATGAGGAATTGGGGGAACAATTACACATAGGTGGTCAAAATCAATAGGGATAGAAATCTTAGCCTCAGGGAAAGCCGCTCCTAGGACAGATCCTTTCTGAGCAGGAGGACCCACCCTAAAGCAGAATCCCAAGGGTGTGTCTCTCCTCTCCTTGTCTGACAAGCATATAAGCATATATAATATAAATCATTTTGTATGGATACAGTAAGAAATATCTTAAACTTATATAATTGCTCTCCTAGGGCCATCTCGATCTCAGACTACAGTGCTCAGGCCAGATAGTCTTTCCCACCCCTAGCAGGATCCTAGTCTCTTCGTTACTTTTGGATCATGACAGCATTTGTCTATGATCAAACTCTTATAGTTAAGAATCGTGGCACTTTGGCCTGGCCCATTTCGATGCCAGGGTAGCTCACCGCTTGCCCTGGGTCTATTCAGTCCCTCGTCGGGACCCTGCTTTTGGGGTGTTAGGAACTAAGGGCAACTGAGGCCCTTAAGTCGAGAAAGCAGATGCCCGGGAGTGAATAATAATCAAAGCCAATCAAATCCTAAGTTACAAAGCATAATGTTAACGGTCTTCCTGTATCTATACAAAAAGGATATTACTTTAAGGTAAACTGTTCATAAGGCATAAAGAGAGGAGAAAGGCAATATTTCACTCATACATATAAAATCATAGATTTCTGGGAAACTGATCTTACAAATTAACAGAGTCTGATTAAGGGGAAAGTTGATTAACTGGGTGGGGAAGAGAGCATAGGGAAGACTGTTTACAGATAAACACAATGGAATGGAAGTGCCTCAGGAGCACTGTGATGGGTGTAACCAGATAAACCTAAGCTCCTTGTACTCCAACACTGGAGGTGCTTGGGGGCGGGGGAGGGGGTTAGGAAGGGGGTAACCCATATGGGATGTTGAACATACAAGGCAAATGCCCTACTCACTGTGCTATAGCTCCACATCCCTCCAAGTTTTATCTAACTTTCTCGCAACAATTTTGCTTTGCTACAGGTAACGATGAAAAGCATTTTCAATTCCATATGTGTCCTATATCCAAATTTTTGGCACTTTTCTGACTTCTAAATAAAAGTTGGCTTCCACTGACTAGATCCTAGATACACAGAACAACTTAGATTATACAGAGGTTTTTTTTTTTTAATAGAGCCATATTTCACCACTCTTCCGAATGGACAAGAGGAATACGTTTGTCTCTACTGACAATGCCCATCTCCCCAGTCGTGAACTCCATGCCATAGTGCCTGGCACACTAAGAGGGCTCAAAACATGCAATTATTAGATGAAACTTGAGTTCTCTTCAACTTCCTTCTTTCACTCTGATTCTTTGTAAAAATCTTTTCTCTCTCTACCTTCACCTTTCTTGTTCATTTCTCAAAGTTCTTTCCTTTGTCTACAAAAACATGAAAAAAAAAGAAAGAGTGGCTTGCATTCTACAGAAAATTACATAGATATTCTTTAAGCTATCATGGAGAATTAATCCAAGTGTTCTAGACCTTTATGGATGGGGAATTTGGTCTAGATTATCCATGGGGTGAATAAAAGACCTAAAGAAGAAAAAAATGTAACAGATCCAGAATTATTAGGTCTAGCACACCTCATTGTCACGTAAGAACATCACCTCTTAGACAAAAGTTGATCAAAATTAAATTCTAAAATAGGGGATAGGGAACTAGAGAGATAGGAGAGCAAGGCAGGGCCCTCACCTTCCGCGCTGGATCGGGGTTATATCCCTGACAGACCAGTCTTCCAAGCCCCATCAGGAGTAATCCCTGAGCACAGAGCCAGGTATGACCCAACCATACCACCACCAAAATAGGGGGTGGGGTGGGACTGTATTATTTCTTGTCTTCTTTCTTGCTCTGTCACACAGTTTAATGACTAAAAAATTAACGGAATGCCACAAGGTATTTGGCAAGGGCCCCAGATATGGTAACATTTTGGAAACGTATGACAGTTTTGTTGGCTTCCCTTAAAACTTTATTCAATCTAATGTGTCCAAATAAATGTCAGTTGTTGGAGAACAGTACAATCTTGAAACAGGCTGACCTGAGTTCAATGCCTGGCACCACATATGGTACCTCAGCATCGCAGAGAGTGACCCTAGAGCCCACCAGCTGTGGCCCCAAACCCAACAAAAAAAATCCTTAGTTTAAGTTCCACAGTCTCATATGCACGTGGGCAAGTGGAAGTGATCACTGCTTAGGGACCTGTCAGTGCTTATCAGTTGGTACTCGATAGGCTAGAGCTCATGTGGTGGGGGAGGCAGCAAGCTGCCCAGGTGCACGGGGCTCACGTGATCCAGACAGGTGTGATTTCCCCTGCCCCAATAGGCCCAAGTCTCCCCTCAGAAACAATAGTAACAAAAAATATCAGTTCAAAAGATGACTTCTGGCTGTAACTCACCCAAAGGAAATCTAAAATATCATACTTCTTTTATTATTATTATTATTATTATTTTTGGCTTACACCTGGCGGTGCTCAGAGGTTACTCCTGGCTCTGCACTCAGGAGTTACTCCTGGCGGTGCTCAGGGGACCATACGGGATGCCAGGAATCGAACCCGGGTCGGCCGTGTGCAAGGCAAACGCCCTACCCCCTGTGCTATCACTCCAGCCCCTCATACTTCTTTTAAACTTTAGGAGTACTACTATTTATTCAGCCATTAAGCTGATTGAAGTGCGCATGAATTTCACATTACCTTAAAATTTTTTTTAAATTGAACATCTATGAGGTGGGCCATTATAAAGCTATTCATGATTGGGTTTCAGTCATACAATGATACTGCACTCATCCCTCCAACCAGTGCACATTTCCCACCACCAATGCCCAGTTTCCCTCCTGCCACCCTCCAAAATCCCACCTCCACCCGTATTGCCAAACCTTTTCAATATTGACACCCAAATGGTAAGAAAAAAATTGAAATAAACATTCATAAATAAAAATCACTAAAAATCCAATCGGAGAGCATGGCAAGCTACTAAGAGTATCCCGCCCACACAGCAAAGCCTAGCAAGATACCTGTGACTAATTCGATATGCCAAAAACAGTAACAAGTGTCACAATTTGTTGTGAGACGTTACTGGTGCCCACTCCAGCAAATCGATGAACAATGGGAGGACAGTGCTACAGTGCCAGTGCTAAGAATCCAGTACACGTGGGCGCGGGTAAGGCTCAGGTAAAAGCGCATGTCTTGCAACCACGATGCGTGGGTTCGATCCTGACCTCCGCAAATACCCACAGATGCTACCAGCACTCAACAGACCCAACACGGGGAACTGGCCTGGAACCTGCCCCGCATTGGGCGGGGAAGGGATCCCCTCCAGCTTAGCAGGGGCGGGGCCCAGCAGGGGGCGGGGCGGAAGGGGGCGGGGCCGGGGCTGGCGGGCCGGACAAGGCCGCGCGAGAGCACGTCTGGCGCATGCGCACCTCTCAGCGGGCCGCTTCCACTTGCCAGGCGGGGGATGCCAGGGGAAAGAAGTCAAGTTTTTCGGTTTTCTCTGCTCTCGACGTCTCTGGGTCGCGGAAAGCTCCACGTTTACGGTGAGAGAATGCGCCCCCGAGCGTAAGAGGCAGGGAAGATGGCATGCACTGCTAGGGCAAGAGGTGAGTTCGAGTTCTTCCCCCCCCCCGGCTTCCGGGATATCGGTGGTCTAGTCCATTCCACAGACTTTCGAGCCCTTGCAGCGGGTCCGGGATCGTAGGATTGGGCCGACTGCGGCTGAACCGTCTTTGGGAGAAGGAAGTGGGAGCCTATCTCCTGAGTTCCGCCTCCCCATTTTCGAGGAGGTGGTAGTGAGGAAGGACAGTGTACGAGACGCTACCCTACGGAAACCAACGGATCGCCCCTCTCCGCGAGAACTGCCGGGCAGGCGGCGGGAAAGGGCAAGACGGGCGTCCCGCACGGGAAGGAGCCAGGAAGCCACGCGGGAGGGCGCGCGACGCGCCCCTTTTTCAGCAGTGTGGCGGGGTCGCACGCACGCCCGCCTCGGCGGCTGGGCGCGGTTTGCGACAGTGGGGGTGGCGGCGGCGCTGGCGGCGGCGGCAGCAGCTTTGCGGCAGGCTCGGGCCGGGCGTGCTTGACGGCGGTGTGGCGCAGGCCCCGCCCCCGGCGGCAGGAGCCCGCGGGGAGGCGGAGGAACATGTCCGAGAGGGACGGCGCGGCGCCGGCGGGAAGCGACATGCCGGCGGCCAAGAAGCAGAAGCTGAGCAGCGACGAGAACAGCAACCCGGACCTGTCCGGCGACGAGAACGTGAGTGCCGCCCGCGCCGTGAACTCACTCTCGGGAAAGTTTCTTGGAGAACACTTCAAGCGCCGCGCGCGTGCCGGCGGGCGGGGGAGGGGCCTGGGAGCCGTCACGCGGGGCGGAGGGCGCAGGCGGGGGAGGGGGCGTCACACGGGGCGGGGGGAGAGGGTGGGAGAGGGGCGCGGGGCGGTGCGCGGGGCCATCTTCCGGCCCGGGACGCGGCAGGTGGCCAGGCGAGTTCCGAGAGCTCGCCAGCCCGCACTTGGGGCTGCGGCGTGAGGGGCGCTCTTGGCCGGGCCGAGCTGGGGGGTCTGGGACCCGGGGCCTTCCTGCACGGTGCGGGGCTCGGGAGGGGGCGGGGCGGGGCAGGTGCGGGCATCGGAGTCCCGGGAGTCAAGTTTCTGGGCGCCCGGCGCTTGGGGCCCTTGGACGTCAGCGGGGAGGCCGCCCACGCGGGCACTCGGCGTGGCTCCACGTGGGCCGCGGGCTGGGCAGGGGGCGGCCGGCGGGGCAGGGCCGACGGCGCCCCCCGCGCGTCCCCCAGTCGCACGCCCAGACTCAGCCCCGAGCCTGCTGTGGTCCAGCCCCAGCAGTTAAACCAGAGGTGTTTGGACGAGTCCCCAGGGACACGGGAGTAAAAAAAACGGGCCTGCAAACTCACCGGATCTGAGGGCTGTAAAGGTTGTCCTCTGCCTCCCTCCTCGCAGGCTTAATCCCAGAAAGTTGCTGGATGGCATAGGAGGCTTGTGCGAGTTTCTTTGTTCCGTTTCGCAGGTTTGGGTAATACATGATGTCTCTGCACCCAGTTCCTGCGCTCTAGCGGCTGCGTGGAGCGTGCACGTTACACAGCGGCCTTCAGTGTCCACTCAAAGGCTTTCTGCTGCTAGGAGGAAGATGCCTTTGGGGACGGCCTGTGTGATTTGTCCCTGAGATTGCTGGGGAGCTTAGGTGTCCTTCAGTATTAATTTAAACAACTGCCCATCCCCCCTTTTTCCCAGTCATAGAGTGGGAACTACCGTTTTGTTTTGTTTTGTTTCTTTCAGCTTCTTGAGTCCTTGAATTCATTTTACTTCACTTTTTTTTTGGGGTCACACCGGGCGATGCACAGAAGTCACTCCTGGTTCATGCGCTCAGAAATTACTCCTAGTGGTGCTGGGAGGGGGGGGGCATATGGGATGCTGGAAATCGAACCTGGGTTGGCCGCGGCCAAGGCAAACGCTCAGCCCGCTGTGCTAGGGAGTCAAGTTATTGCTCCAGCCCTTTCCTTCCACCTTTTTTTTTTTTTTTTTTTTTTTTTTTTTTGCCTTTTTGGGTCACACCTGGCGATGCGCAGGGGTTACTCCTGGTTTATGCACTAAGGAATTACTCCTGGTGGTGCTCAGGGAACCATATGGGATGCTGGGAATCGAACCCAGGCCGTGTGCAAGGCAAACGCCCTACCCGCTGTGCTATCGCTCCAACCCCCTCCTTCCACCTTTTTAAAAAAACAGTTGTAGTCTTAACAGATTTTTGTGCTTGGGTTTCAGTTATACAGTAACCGAGTACCCATCCCTCCATCAGTGCCCATTCTCCCAGTATCCCTCCCACTACCCCCCCATCCCACCCGCCTCTGTGGCAGGACATTCCCTTTTGTTCTCCCTCTTTTTGGGTGTTGTGGATTGCAATAGAGGTATTGAGTGGCAATCATGTTCGGTCTGTAGTCTGCTTTCAGCATGCATCTTCCATCCTGGGCAGATCCTCCCAACACCCTTTACTTCCCTTCCACATTTTAAAGAAATTTTGTCAGTTGATGTTTGTGTATATACAAGAGCACACCCCCAAAAGAGAAGCTAAACTCTGACTGCTTCCTTGTTTCTTGACTGTGAGCTGACCTATTTGCCTCCGTCTCTCATCTTAGAACTGGGGATTCCTGGCTTGGGAGATAGCTTTTTTTTTTTTCTTTTTTAGTTGAGGTTCTGTGATTTCCATTACTGCTAATGACTTCCCATGCACGTAATTACAGAGCTCCACCTATCACCAGTGTACCAGCACTCCTCTCAAACCCGCCCGCCTGCAACTCAGTTAAGCGATCCAGTTCCCTGGAAGATGGTTTGAAGGTGTTGGAGGGCTGGCTTTGAGTACAGGAGGTTCCTCCAGTTTTTAAGAAAGAGTGTTGAAGGGCTGGAGTGATAGTACACACGGGTGGGATGCTTGCCTTGCAGGCAGCCGATCTGGGTTGGATCCTGGTACCCTATATGGTCCCTCAAACTCCACCAGGAGTAATTCCTAAGTGCAGAGCCCCTGGGCATTGCCAGGTGTGGCCCAAAAATGAAAAAATAAAAAGAAAAATTTTGCTATTTAATAAAGCACTTGATAAAAAGTGTTACAGTGCTTTACCTAGTACATTCTAGCACATGGTCTAGTTGAAATCTGCAACTGTTACGTGATTTAAAAAAATGCCAAGTTCATGGGTTAAAAGTCACAGCTACAGCAACATTACTTACATTATAATAGAAATGATAGATATTACAATGGCGAAAATTAACATGTAAGCTTATTTAAAAATGTTATTTTATTTCACAGGTTCTCTAATTTACATTTAGGGATCTCAGATCTTGGACATTGGCTAGAGGAAGCAATGGAGAAAGTATAGATAGGTCTACATGAAAAGCAAATGTAGAAATTACTTACAAAGGTTGCAGTTGTATTCTGTAGACAAATATGACTAAAAGAAGGTCAAAAGCAAGTGGGTTTTTTGTTGTTGGTGTGTATCTGATTTGCTTATTTAATGAATCACCTATCCCCAACATTCAGTCCTAGCAGTAGAAAGCCTGTGGTAAGTCCCATGCTAAGTCAAATGGAGAAAAGAGAAGTTTCAGGGAAAGTTTCAGTGTGCCTCAGCTGGAGGGCCCTAGGGCCCAGTGCCCCCAGAGTCTCAAGGGGCACAAATGAAAGTTGTGTATGATGATGGGCGGAACCCTAGGAGGGAAACCGATGAATTAGGGGACCATGTCAGAAAAAAAGGCTGGAAAACGCTGCTTTAGGGTGAGACTTGACTGTATATTCCTTCTAGAACAGCACGGAAGACTCCCAAGTTAATTGATGGGCCTCAGACATTCTCAGCTGTTTGTAGTACGGTGGAAGTGTGATGTAGGTGGGCCCCACAGGTGGCTTATGTGAGGCAGGGAGGAGGAAGATGGTCACATTCTCCTGATCCTCTGCCACCTGGGACCTAGGGTTTGGGTGCTTGTCACGCCTCACAGAAAAAGAGTTTCAGGAGTAGATGAGCAGTGAAGTAGCACTGTTGCACTGTCCTCCCGTTGTTCATCGATTTGCTCTAGTGGGCCCGGTAATGTCTCCATTGTGAGACTTGTTACTGTATTTGGCATATTGAATATGTCACTGGTAGCTTGCCAGGCTTTGTCGTGTGGGCGAGATACTCTCGGTAGCTTGCTGGGTTCTCCAAGAGGGGCTGAGGAATTGAACCCTGCTTGGCCCGGCCAGTCTCGTTCAAGGCAAATGCCCTACCACTGTGGTATTTGGAGGTTTTGAAGGGAAACAGAAAGTGGGAGAGAGTGGAGAGTAACTTGCTCAAGAGAGAACCCCAGCTTCTCCAGAGTAGAGAACGCCCTACACACACCCCAGCAGTAGACATGAAGACATGAAAGTACATTTCTCAAGACATATGCAGCCCTTGCTTTGTTCAGTTGGCTTCTATATAGGGCTTTTCTGACTTGCCTCCACTTAGGGCTTCTACTTAGGTAAGTTGCTGTGGAGGTTGGGGGGGAGGGGTAGGTTGGGAGTGGTGATGGTGTTGAAATTCCTTTCCTAGCCTTTTGTTTCTGCTGAAGCTTCTCTGGGTCTGTTGCTGATTATGGGTGAGGGTCTTACCAGGCCTTCTGTTTCCTGCATGGTTGGATTTCACAAAATAAGGGGTATACCTAGGAACTTTCCTGTTGCTGCCTTTGGAGGGGGTCTTCCCTATCTGCCTGCCTGTCTACATCAGAGGCACAGATCAGTATACCCAGCGTCCCGCCCCCAGACCTTGGTATAGGCTAGTCCTACACCACTAGGAGCAGCTGCAAGCACTAAGCCAGGAATAAATAGCCTCTAGCCTCTGACCACGCCTGGGTGTGATTCCAAAATTAAAAGATAGAGTTCCACTTGTTTGAGATTGGGGCTGGAGTGGCATGCTTTGCACACGAGGACCCAGCTTGGTTCCCCAGTACCCTCTGGAGCCACCCCCACCCTATGCACTGAGTTGGGCCTAGCCCCTTAGCACCTCTGGCTGTGGCCCCAAAATCAAAATAAATAAAATTACACTTTGGGTTATTTTGGTTTTGTTTGTTTTGTTTGGGGGCCACACCTGAAGATGCTCAGAGGTTAACCTAGGCTTTGCACTCAAGAATTACTGCTGATAGTGCTGGGGGACATAAGGGATGCTGGGGATGGAATACAGGTCCAGGATTGCAAGGCAGACGCCTTGTCCTCTCAGTGTACTCTCTCCAGCCCCTCTAGATTTCCTTTCCCGTGCCACAAATAATGCTGGTCTCATCGACAGACTGAACTTTTGATTGTTTACATTTTTCTATCTATAAAGACCTAAAATATATTTAGATACATTTAAAATGTGCTAGATACATTTAAAATACACTATAGTTTTTCAAAGTATACGTTTAAAATAGGTATAGGTATATTTAGAAATAATTCAAGGGTCAGAATTATTTGTGTGGCTCCCCCCCAAAAAAAATAGTTCACATATTTATTTAGAATATGCTCTGCCACCTAGCCACTTTGGGTTTGTTTTTTGTTTTTGAGTGGGGCCACACCCATTAATGCCCAGGGATTACACCTGGCTCTGCTCAGGATTTACTTCTAAGGGAACCACATGGGATGTGAAGAATCAACCTGGGTTAGCTGCATGCAAGGTAAATACCCTACCATTGTACTATCATTCAGGCCCTATCTTTATTTATTTATTTATTTTGCTTTTCGGGTAACACCTGGCTTCCTCAAGGGTTACTCCTGGCTTTGCACTCAGGAATCACTCCTGGAAGTGCTCAGGGGACCATATGGGATGCTGGGAATCAAACCCTGGTCGGCCCCCCTGCAAGGCAAACGCCCTGCCGCTGTACTATCACTCCAGCCCCCGGCCCTATATTTATTTGTCTATTTGTGGCAGTAATTTTTTTTCTTTTTGGGTCACACCCAGCGATGCACAGGGGTTACTCCTGGCTCTGCACTCAGGAATTACTCGTGGCGGTGCTCAGGGGACCATATGGGATGCTGGGAATCGAACCGGGGTCAGCCGCGTGCAAGGCAAACGCCCTACCCGCTGTGCTATCGCTCCAGCCCCTGTGGCAGTAATTTTTACTGTGACCTAGATAACATGGTTACAATGGCATAATTCATTGTGTAATTTTGTACCTTACATTCATTTTTCATTTCATCATCCTGTTAATCGTCGATTGCCTCGAGCAGGCCCCAGTAACATCTCTTTCATCCTAGCCCTGAGATTATATTCACGGCTCTTTAGGAGAATGAGACCCATCATTGTTACTGGTATTTGGCATATTTGGTACGCCACGGGGAGTTTGCCAGACTCTGCCGTGTGGGCAGGCTACATTCGATAGCCTGCAAGTTTGTCCAAAGTAGGAATGAGATAATAAGATGTCATAATAAAAAATTCTGATTAGATGTCACGCGGCCGAGAATGCAGCCGCGCGGTTCCGGGATCTGGATTTTATAGTCTCTGAGTCTTGGCCGCTGATGGGATTACACGGCGTCAGGGGGCCAGGTGATGGGTGTGACCCCCGCCTGCTGGAATTTGGAGGATCTGGATGGAAGATGCTCGACTCCAATCCGAGTAGGCTTGGAGGTCTCGGCCCCGGAACCCGCGTGGCTTTGTCCCTCTGCCAGTACCTTCATGTGTGCGGAGAGTGGTCTCAGCATGGTGGTGGCTGGTCCTGGAGGTCTTCGGCTGCCGGAGCCCCGGTCGGGGCGGGGAGGAAAACTCAACCCGCGCCCCTCCAAGGGGTCCCGGTGAGGGACACCCAGGCGCGGGGGCAAAAGACTGCACTGTACCTTACATGATTACATAAAACCAAATTTGGAAAGCAACAGGTCCTAAAATGAAACAGCTTTCTCTGGAATGAATTTAGTGACTTTCCTACAGTTATAGGTTTTAAAGGTTTAAATGTCTATTTATTTTGTGGGTTTCCTTTTTATATTTTGGTGCCACTGGACTTATTCTGGGGGCTCTGAGCTTACTCCTGGTGGGGCTTTGGGGTCCACATGGGATGCAGGGAATTCAACTTGAGCTACAAGCAAGGTTAGCATCCTCTTCTCTGTTCTCTCTCCAGTTCCGATTTTGTTTCTTCTTAGAACATTGTACTATATAATGAAATGAGGTTGTGAAATCATGTTCTGAGACAGAAAATATATGCGATTGGTGTTATATGGTGTGTACTGAAGGTCCCTGTGAGTGAGATGGGAGACTTCCTGCAGCCATCTCTACTACATTTGTAATTACTTGAGCTGTGCATGAATAACATTGCTTGAGTTTTGAGTCAAATTTCATTAGAATGTAGCACAGAGTTAATGTACAATTTAAGAAATTCAGACTGATGTGTTCAAGAAATAACAATTTCTAAAACTACATTAATGTTGAACCTATTTTAGCCTCCCACTCGCAGCTACAGAAGCCCTCCAGTCTGAGCAGTCCAGTGGCCACAGGCTTCTCTTCGGCCTTGGGTGTGAATCAGGCCACCTGTCAAGGAAGAGACCAGTTAGACTTTCTAGAACTCTTCCCTCCCCAGCTGTACCTTCTGTGAAGTAAGAGACAGGGAATTACATTCGAGTGGCTGACATGTGTAAAATGTCTAACTGAAGTCGCTGGGTCCCCACTGGTGGCTTATGTGAGAGGCGGGGAGGAGAGAGACGGTCACTTTCTCCAGATCCGCCTCTGCCACCGAGGCCAAGTCTTTCAGGAGCCCCTGCTCAGTGGGGGCCTAAGGGAAGCCTGGCCTTCTCCCCACCACCTGATCTCTTGGGGAACCAGAGACTCAGGTCGGGGTGAGGAATTGCTCTTTGCAGAAAAAGGAAAGTCCTAGGCCTCACCTAGGGTTACCAGATTCATGGCTCACTGAAAAGAATTTCAGGAGTAAAGAAGAGCAGTAAAGTAGAACAGATTTTGTTTGGAGGTAATCTTCTGTTGCCTTGGTCTGGAATGTTCTGGAATCTTTTGGGCTCAACTGCAAAGGTTAATCAGATTAAGGGAGGGGCTTGAGGGTTCTGGAGGATTTTCCTTTAGGCCCTTTCCTTGGGAAGTGATCCAGTCCTCAGGGCCTATTGCTGGTCTTGCTTTCTGGATCCACAGGTGGGTCAGCCTTAGGACTTTTTTCTAGAAATTTCATTGTAAACCCAGGTGGTTTTATTACCTAGAAGTTTAGTTGCTATGGGGCCTTTCCCTGTCTCTCTGCCTGCCTGCGTCATTACCAATTCTGATAATCTTTTTTAGTTTTTATTTTTGCTGAATTGCCAACTACCTGTAAATCTGGTTTGTAGCTGGTTTGTTCTTGGAACCTTATTTGGAGACAGGTAACTATCCCATTTCGAGCAATTTTTTCACTACCTGATTGATAGAAGATTGCTTGTTCTAAGTATTTGATGTAAGCTTTGCTAAATTTTTTGCTTTTAGGATGATGCTGTCAGTATAGAAAGTGGAACAAACACTGAACGCCCTGATACACCTACGAACACTCCAAATGCACCTGGAAGAAAAAGTTGGGGGAAGGGAAAGTGGAAGTCAAAGAAATGCAAATATTCTTTCAGATGCGTAAATAGCCTCAAGGTATGTGCCCAATGTAGACCAAAATTATTTTCCACTGGTAAACCAAAAGTTATTTCTTTGTTCTTTGGGCTCATCAAATTAGTGATTAAGGAACCATATGCTGACTATATCCCAATTTAGACTTGAGCCACTGCTTGGTATCTGTTATAAAAAGTTGAACATGACTGATAACCTTTATACAGTTTTTAAAATAGAACTTATTCTTTGCCCTTTAATTTTTTAAAGATTAAAAAATTATTTTGTGTGCCATGGATTGAAGCCAGGGTCAAATGCGTGAGAAATTTGTACTGCCATTAAACATTCTTGTTGCTTCCCCTGAATGCTTGGTAAAGGTAAAGGTAAAGGCCCTCCCGTTGATGTCGATTTGCTCGAGCGGGCCCAGTAACGTCTCCTTTGGAGACTTTGTTGTTACTGTGTCTGCCATATCGAATACTCTCGGTAGCTTGCCGGGCTCTCCGAGAGGGGCGGAGGAATCGAACTCGGGTCGGCCATGTTGGCCGCTTGTAAGGCGAACGCCCTACCGCTGTGCTATCGAATGCTTAGTACTTGCGAATATAAAGGATTGAGGTTATTTGAATCGTTTCCTCAGTAGTTTTTCTTTATTAGAAGAATTAACTGGTTACCATTTTGAATATTTCTTTTACATCAGTCTTAGTTTAATTGGGGAGGTTGTTTGTGGGTTATTTTGATTCAGCACACCTGACAGTGCTTGGGGCGCTCTTCCTCCTGCTCTGCGGGTTTCCTGCGGGCTGGCTGTGGGGACCACCTGCTCTATCCTGGCCCCTTTGCTTGAGTTTGAATTGCGGTTTGTCTGCACTAGGCAAAAATATGTCATGTAAGTTAGATTATTTTACTGCCATTTGAATGTTTTGGTGAAACATTTCAGAAGCATAAAACTGATTTTTCAAAAGATAAACAGTTTGTGCTCAGGGCTTATTCCTGGCTCTGGGTGGTGGACTTATTGGACCATGTAGGGTGCCAAGGATCAAGCTTGGGTCAGTCTTGTGCAAGGCAAATGCCCTGCCCACTTTTGCTCTGGCCCCATAGTGGGGTTTTGGTGTTCTGTTTTGGCTTTTTGGGTCACACACCGTGATGCTCAGGTTATTTCTGGGGTGCTCAGGGGACCATATGGGATACTGGGAATCAAATTCAGGTCTGCCGTGTGCTAGGCAACCACCCTACCCACTGGATATCTCCCTGGCCCCCCCAAAGTTTTTATTTTGAAAGTGAAGGTAGGGTTGTAGTTCAGTGTTAATAAGGGCATACTCTCATGAGACCTTTCCTGGATTGGCCCCTAGTATGGGGAGGTAGAGGATGGGGGAGAAAAGTAAAATGTAAAAGCATTTTCAACATAAGTACTCGTGATCTAACCTCTTGCCTTTATAAAACATAATCCACTAATATTTGAAAATTGGATGAGATTTCCTTGGTTTATTTTTGATATGCAGAATAGTAGCACTGTCCTCCCGCTGTTCATCGATTTGCTCTAGCGGGCCTAGTAACGTCTCCATTTTGAGACTTGTTACTGTGTTTGGCATATTGAATACGTCATGGGGAGCTTGCCAGGCTCTCCGAGAGGGGCGGAGGAATCAAACTCGGGTCGGCCATGTTGGCTGCGTGCAAGGCAAACGCCCTACGGCTGTGCTATCGCTCCAGCCCTAACTACTAACATCTACTAATAAAGTAAAAGTGAAAACAGTAATAGTGACATCAATATTTATAGTATCTATAGCATGCAGGGCATTTGGGCTGGAGCGATAACACAGCGGGTAGGGCATTTGCCTTGCACGCAGCCAACATGGCCGACCCGAGTTCGATTCCTCCGCCCCTCTCGGAGAGCCTGGCAAGCTCCGAGTGACGTATTCGATATGCCAAACACAGTAACAACAAGTCTCCAATGGAGACGTTACTGGGCCCGCTCGAGCAAATCGACGAACAACGGGAGGGCCTTTACCTTTACCTTTAGGAAGAGGTTGAAGTAGTCAGTTTACACCCCTTTTTTTTGGCTTACGGTAATCTAACTTCCTTTTTCTTTATTTTTATAGGAAGATCATAACCAACCGTTGTTTGGAGTTCAGTTTAATTGGCACAGTAAAGAAGGAGATCCATTAGTTTTTGCAACTGTAGGAAGTAACAGAGTGAGTGTTAATGTAATCATTTGATGTAAAGATTATACCTTGTTTTACCTTTTTTCCCTGTTAAAGTGAATCATTGTAAAAATTAATAAAAACTAGTATTAATGACTAAAATCTTTTGTTTCGGTTGTTTATAAATCCATTTATACTTAGAATTTTGCTTTTAGATATTTAGTATTATTGTAAAAATTGACAACTTTTTCTGAAATGAATTTAATAGTTTCTCATTCAGATTAAGGTAAGATATGTGTGATTTCTGTTTTAAAAAACTCTTAGATGTCTTTATATAAATGCAAAATATAAGTCCAGAGCTATTAAAAATATAATTATTTGTATTAAACATTTGCCTAGTCATTGAAGTTCTGACATTTTAGAGTTTTCTTCTAAAGTTGATAACAAGTACTAATGCCTGTTCAGACGTCCAGTCAAATGTAGATTGTGAGAGAACATGGGTTGATACCTGTTTAGACATTCAGACAAGAATGTCCTGTTAATAACTGTCTAGTTCTTTGAAAATAATTCGGAAGGAAAGTGAGACTACGTTTGGTTCTTTTTGGTTTTGTTTAGCTTAGTTTGGTTTTTGGGTCACACCCAGTTGCAGTCAGTTGCTGCCTGTTATCTTTGGAACAGGCCTTCTGAGCTTTTGCCTTGCCCTCAAGTCATAGTTTTGTGGGTCTTTGGGTTTGTTTTCTGGGCCACATGCAAGGTGCTTAGTGCTTACTTGCTTAGGGGTTATGCCTGGCAGTGCTTGGGAGACCATATGCAGTTCTGGGGTCAAACTGGATGCCTGTACTTGCCAAGTGCCTTAGCTGCTGGACACTGCTGCCCAGTGTTGGAGTTTGAGACAAGATTGGAAGTGTTTGGGTTTTTTTTTTCCAACTGGGAACAGTCTAATTAAATTTCTTAAGTTATTGCTATAGAGTTAATATTGTACTTAACCAGCTTGATCATGATCATACCAGAATTATACCTCACAACTATAGCAGTATTTCAGGCTTCCAAATAAAATCCCTATTCATTTAAATTGACATTGAAGTTTTTGAGTTGCTAAAATTTCTGCTGTTGGATTTTTAGATTAGAGGATATAAGATTTATAGGATCTTCATAGAATTCTTGTTTCTTACTAAAAAAATTAATGATAGGTTGTTGGCCTAAATTATAAGAAATAAGGAAATTATTTGGGGGCCAGAGAGATAGTTTAGCGGATACGGTGCTTTGCCTTGCATGTGACTTTAGTTCAATCCTTGCACCCCCTAAAGACCACTGAGTCCCTCAGAAGTGATGCCTCAGCCAGGAGTTAGCCCTGAGCACAGCTGGGTGTGACCCAAAAAAACAAAAATGTTATTTATTCACTTTAGCCATTGGAGAAACCATACTGAGCAAATTTTAGATATTCTTTAAGAACTTAATTTGAGAAGTGTTTGTAATTCATAGTATTAAATCTTTAAAGAATTGGTACATTTGAAATATGTGTTTGAGACATTGGAATGCTATTGAATATACTGTGGTAGTTATGTCAAAGGTTAAATTTTATAATGATTTCCTTAAGTAAATGACTCATTTAAGGCAGGAGTTTCTGTAATATTTTTAAAACATGGTTGTAACTAAAATGCTTACAAAATATAGGGTCATCTACATTTGAGATGAAATAATATGTATTTTTGTTTTCACTAGGTTACTTTATATGAATGCCACTCACAAGGAGAAATCCGGTTGTTGCAATCTTATGTGGATGCTGATGTATCCTTTCCTGGGTTTTCAGTATTTTGGGCTAAAAATTTGTATTTCCTATAAGTACACCAAAGTTTTTGTAAATTTAATTAGTTCCCTGAAGTATTTTTCATTCTGAACGATGGCCGATACAGTTCCTTCGTTGGTTATATTCCGAGGATTTCCTGATACCTACGAAACTTAGTTTTCCTGATTTTTAGAAGTTCATTGTTGGATGGATATAGAGGAAGGTGAGGTGGATGGAGATGAGCATTGGAAATCTGGTAATAGAAAACTACTCTTGTAGCTGTTAAATTGGGCCGAAATCTCCACAGAGCAATCACACAAAGACAAGTTGCGATGCAATAAGCAAAGGGTCTATTGACTAGCTCCAGCTAGGGACCCTATCTGCCTCACGGACATAGCAGCAGCTTCCTTGGAGCAAGTGGCGGCTGCGTGTCACAAAAGCGCGGGGCATTTTTCTTCAGCATTACATAACACGGGCTTTCAGTGGTATACACATCTTGCCACATTTTTTCCTTGCTGCTTGGTCAGTGCCACCTGTGGTCCTCTTTGTTCTATTCTTTCCATGCCTGGCTGACCACTAGAGTCCTCGTTTTTACTGATTGACTGACACTATCTGCAAGTACTATAAATTTTGTTTGTTCTGTTCCCTTTGCCAAGATGTGGTCTCTAGTTCATGCCCAGTTCAGCTGTCAGTTACATAATCATACAGAATAGCAAAATGGCTACGAATAACTAAAACGGCTCCACTTTGATTCTAACATAGCTAATGCCTCCTTTTTTTTTATTCTTGGACTTAGATTGATTACCAAATGTGAATTGATTGATATACTAAATAATAGATAATAAGGCCTTCAATGCAAAAATGAAATGTTTGATTTGTTTAGCAAACAAAACTGCATGGTATAAGTCCCTGAAAAGTTTTTAAAATGGGTTAAATAGCTGTCAAAACTTGGTAAAAGCCTGTTTCCTGCAGGATGCCATTGAAAACCAAGAACAGGCAAGAACATTTATCCTTGCATAGACAGTGATTAACTAGAGCCATGTTGATGTCTCACGTAAGAGGAGGTGGAGAACTAGTTCCCTTTCTCTAGAGGCACGTAGTCCTGAGGATTGTGATTGAGTAAGCAAATTGAAACCTCAGGACAGGCACCTGACTGTTGATTGGCCACACCTGCTCCTACAAGGCCAGGCCATGTTGGGGTTTCACAGGCAGAGCCTGTGCTCCAGCCTCAGCCCCCTGGTCCCCTGGTCATCTGTTCCAATATTTGGATTGGCACACCGCTATGCCCGTTCATTTACATACTATGGTGTCTGCCTCAGATTATGCAAACTAAGAGAGTAATTAAAATTGGTTGGGGGCCTAATTTTGTCTGATCATGTCTAGATTTTAAAAACTCATTGTTGAAATCTGTCAAATATGGAGGAAAATGGGAACTGCTATGTCAAAATGTTATTGGGCCTTTGAAGATCATTGTTGAATTGCTTACGTTTCAGAAATGTATTTTTCCCCCCTTTTTCAAAAATGTATTTCTTAACTAGCATTTCTTAGGCTGATGAAAATTTTTATACTTGTGCATGGACATACGATAGCAATACAAGCCATCCTTTGCTAGCTGTGGCTGGGTCCAGAGGCATAATTAGGATAATTAATCCCATAACAATGCAGTGTATAAAGGTGGGTTAATGGTTAAACTTGTAGATTTTTTTGAAGTGCACATATATACTTTTATTTTTTTATGAACTTAAAACGAATGGAACTTGTAACTTTTTTGGGGGGGGGGCTACACTGTTGACTTCAGGGGCTCCTCCCAGCTGTGCTCATTGTCTGCTCTGGTGCTTAGGGAGCCATTGTGTGCCAGCAATCAGTCTTGAACTTCAGCATGCAAAGCATGTTCTCATTGTTATTTTAGCCCAACAGTATAAACATTTGTCATTTAATTTATACATTGCTTACTGCTTCCTTGTATTTACAAACAGGATTAAGACTTGTCACATTTTGGTAATACAGATAAGAAATAAGTGGCTTTTTGAGCTGGAACAATAGTATAGCGGCTAGGGCATTTCCCTTGTTTGTGGCTAATCCCTGTTTGATCCTTGGCATTCCATATGGTCCCTGTGCACCTCCAGGAGTAATTTCTGAGTACAGACCCAGGAATAACGCCTGAGGACTGCTGGATGTGGCCTAGAAGCATAGAAAAAAACAAATGGGATTTTATTTTTCATTTTTTTATTTTGGGGTCACACCAAATGGTGCTCAGGGGTTATTTCTGGCTCTGTACTCAGGAATTACTCCTGGCAGTGCTCGGGGCACCATATGGGATGCTGGGGATCGAAACTGGGTCTGGCATGTACGAGGCAAATGCCCTCCCCACTGTGCTATTGCTCCAGCCCCAGAAATGAGATTTTAGGAGCCAGAGAGATAGGGCAGCAGGTAGATGGGGCAGAGTCTTCACCTTGCTTGTGGCTGAACTGGGTTTGATCCTTGGCATCACATCTGTCCCTCCTGAGGCGCCTGGAATGATCACAAGTATAGAGCCAGGAACACTAACCTTGAACATGACCAAACGTGACCCTAACTCACCCCCACTTTTCCCGTCCCCATTTATAGAGATGTGTTCCACGAGAGTCACATTCCCACCCTCTGTGGAAATATTTTTTGTTTTTGGGCTACGCTGGTATTTCAGGGCTTATTCCTGGTTCTACACTCGGAAATCACTCCTGGTGGTACTTGGGATCATCTGGAATGCCAGATATCAAACCAAAGTTGGCTGCTTTCAAGGTAAAAGTCCTACTAGCTGTACTATCACTCAGGCCCCTTCTGTGGAGAGTTTTTGTTTGTAATATTTTTCTTTTTTTTCTTTTTGCTGATGCCAGTAATTGAATCCAAGGCCTCCCACAGTGATCAGGAAGGCAGGTGCCTTCCCTTCCTTCCACTCCTCTTCCCCCCTCCTGAAGAAAAGCAGACATATCCCAGCCATGAGGATCTTTTTAGACAGAGGAGGGTGTGCATTGGCAACTATAGCCAATGGGGGAATCAAATTCAGTTGGCCACATGCAAGGAGAAATCTTTAAAAATCCAGTACCCTTCCTCTGGTGAAGGTATGGGTATTTCATTGTATGACCGAGACTTAGACCCGAAAGCTTTGTAACTGCTCTCATAGTGATTCAATAAATAAAATTATTAAAAAAAAAATCTAGTACCCTTTCTCTAACCCCTCAGGATATTTTAAAAATCCTTATCTGTGGGACTGGAAAGACAGTACAGTGGGTAGGGCACTGGGGTCTATCCCAGCATTCCATAGGGTTCCCTGAGCACCCCCAGGAGTGATTCCTGAGTGCAGAGCTAAGAGCATTGCTGGATGTGGTCTCCAAAAGAACCTGTGCCTAAGCTAATCTAGTACGATATAAAAAATAAACCCTTAACTGTGCCTGAGTTAATGTAAATACAGTATCTGTAGATGAGCATTTTTATTGCCCTACAAATCTGTTGGGTTATTTTAAAATACGATCAGGATGGAGAACCACGAAAACTTTCCACTCATGGAAAAAGAATTTACTGACAGATCCGAAACTTGATTTTTTTTTTCTTTCTTACAGCACTATGTTGGCCATGGAAATGCTATCAATGAACTGAAATTCCACCCAAGAGATCCAAATCTTCTCTTGTCTGTAAGTAAAGGTAAGAGAAAATGTTTCTTCAGTCATACTTTTTTTAGAAATGATTTTTTTTCCCTCTTACAGGCACAAATTGTTATAAGGTAGGGGAGCCAAAAATTTTAAATGGTAACTTTTAGGAAAGTGTCAGACTACCCTGTTATTCCCAAGAAAAAGGGACCCTACGGTACTTCGGCTTGGGTTATGTATTATTCTTTACTATATTGCATTGATCTAGAATTTTGGCTTTAATTGAATAAGGTATTGAGTTATCAAATTGCATATCAGCAAAACAATTTTTAAGTTTTATAGATAGTTTCTCAAGTCATTTCATTATGGGTTTGATTTTTGGTTGCAATAGAGCTGGGGATTGATCATGCAGTGCTAGAGATTAAATCTAGGACTTTACACATACAAGGCTAGCAGTTCAGTATTGAGCACAGCCTGCCTACTAAATTTTGTTTTATAAGTGATTTCCTATAGAACTACTTAAGATTCCATTTCCAGCATAAGCTCTTTGAAATACTTCTTGTAAAGAGAAACACTGCTTTGTTCCATCCCTACTTCTTTTTACTGTGTTCAGAAATGCCGCTTAATTCTCAATCACCTTTGAGCTTTCTGAACTGCATTTTTTTTTTGTTTTACAATTTGTTCTTGCTTTGTTCATGGTAAAGCTTGTTAAAGCTATAGTCTACTCATATTCATAGATGTCCTCATTAAAACTCCTGAACATGCTTTAGTATGATTTTTAGGGGGCTGGAGCAGTAGCGCAGTGTGTAGGGCATTTTCCTTACATGTGGCCTAACCCTAGTTTGATCCCTGGCTTCCCATATGGTTCCCCCAAGCACTGCCAGGAGTAACCCCTGAGCATTACTGAGTGTGACCCCTCTCCCCCCCAAGAGAAAGCCAACAAAACAAAACCCTCTTGAACATGCTTCAATATAAATTTTTTGAAAGTACCAAGGTATAGAACAGTTGATAATACACACACTGTGTCTGTGTTTTGGGGTGATCCTTCAGTTTGCTCAAGGACACGTGGTGCTCAGGAACCAACTCAGGCCCCCCGTGTGTGCAGTGCATGCTCAGCCTGCTTTGCTCTCTGCCCCTCTCTTCTTTGGTAATAGTAAGTAGACTCCCAGCTATTCCTTTATCAAAGTAAACGAAAGTTGACTTAAAGTTCCTAATAGCACAGCTTCTTAAATGTTGCTTCCTGAAATTTCAATGTGTCGAGACTTTTATAATTATTATTTTATAAGACACTGATTTACAATGCAATTAATAGGGTGTCATCCATATGTAACTTAAGTGTCATCTTGCTCTAATTTTCTGTCATTCCCTCCCTCTGTGGCAAACTCAATTCTGCATACCAATTCTGAGGTCGGTTGCCTTTGGTTATTTGTTTCTCCCCAACTGTGTTTTTTTTTTTTAGCCCACACATGTGTTTCCTCCTCCTGCCTAACTTCACTCACTCAGCTTGACTCTCCAAGTTCCATGTACATGGTGTGAATTGCATGGTTTTCTCTTCTCTGATAGCTGAATAGTATTCCATTGTGTATATGCAAGTTGCTTTACACACTCATTTTGGACACTTGGTTTATTATATTTTGTCTAGTGCTGCAGTGAACATAGGAGTCTGAATGTCTTTTCAGAATTGAGGGTTTTTTTTGTTTGAGGGGTAGTGTAATGGGCAGGGCATTTGGCTGGCACCACACACGATCCCAGGAGCCCCTGCCAGTAGTGTCTTGAGCGCAGAACCAGAAATAAAACCCTTGTGAGCACTGCCAGAAGTGAGCACAAAGAGGAGAAATAAAATCAGAGCTTTTAAGAGGCCTTTAGTATAGATAGCAAGAGGCAGAATTGCTAGGTTATTTGAAATCTCAGTTCTTAGTTGTACTCAATGTATATTCTCCAAAAAGTTTGAGTCAATTGACATTCCTGCTAGCAGTGAATCAGGGTTTCCTTTGTCTCCACTTTATCTTTACTTGCAGTGCTGGTGGTTTTGTTTTTTTTTTAATAAAAGTTTTTGAAAATGAACCAGTACTTTACCACAAACAGTATTGCATTTTTGGGGGGGCTGGGGGAGCGGTTAGGCCATACTTGGTGATGCGTGGGGGTTAGTTCTGGCTCTCCAGCAGCAATGCAAACATCAGCGTTAGCTGAAAAGATAACATACAGAATAGAAGAAAATATTTATAGGTCATATATATCATAAGGACATAGAATTCAACATACAATGTTGAAAAGTGGGCAAAAAGCTTTTGGGAGAAGGGACACGACCTGGCGGTGCTCAGGACTTATTCCTGACTATGGACTCTGGCATCACTCTTACGGTGCTGTGGGCACCACACTGGGGGCTGGGAACCAAACTCTAGACAAACACCCTGAAGAAAGGACAAAGGTTTGGAAAAGGGGTCTTCCCAAATAACAAGTCTAATGTGCAGAAGTAAAGTTGCAAAATAATCTTTTGTTGTTAGGGAAATACAAATGAGAAACAGTGATACCAGTTCAGACATACTAGATTGGCTTTAATCTAGAAGTACGTTGATTAGGGTGTGGGAATTGAAATACCCGCATACATAGGAATTCCCTCATACATAGAGTATGAATATAAAATGTAACCACATCTGAAAAGTGGTCTGACAATTTTAGGTTTGGCTGTTATGAGCCCAGTAGTGTGGGTTCCTCTGCCTCAGTTCTCTGGAATTGCTGCTGGCTATGCTTAGTGTTGACGCCAGGACTCCTGCAGACCAGGTGCTCCTGTTGAGCTCTCTCCAACCCCAGAAAACTGTTCTAGGTCAAAGAGAAAATGCAGTGCTCAGGTGCTTACCTTGAGTGCAGCTGGTGATCCCTGTCGCCATGCGTGTCCCCAGCACCACTAGAGGTGGCTAAAGATCCAGCCATACCTCTCCAAATTATATACTGGTTGATTTTCACTGTTGACACAGGAATTACTGAATTACTGTCTTGTTATAAACTGTAATATGTTAATATTAATGTCCACTGTTACATTTTCAACTGTATGTGGCATTTCCTACAGTAATATTGCTATACCTTGTAATGTTATTGTTTTAAAAGTAAGATGGCTTAACTGTTCTCAAAAACTAAAATTATTCTGTACAGTTTATAATTCTTTTTTGGGTTTGCTGCAAAAATCTTGTAGTGGAAGCAAATGCTTATTAATATACTGTCTTACTCATAATATAAAATTTTGCTTTTTGCACAACCCTTGTTTTTCAAATTCAAGGCATTATTTAAAGGAAAACATTTACAGTCTTTCTGATTTTGAAAGGGTGATGTCATATCTAGGAAATCTGTAGGTTTTGTTGATATGTAATATGGATTCCAGTCTTGGTCTTTTATGTACAAACTTTTGAAGCTGTTACATATTTAAAGAAGTTTTGTTCATCTTGATTTTTGTCTGTACTAGATCATGCCTTACGATTATGGAATATTCAAACAGACACTCTTGTCGCAATATTTGGAGGTGTAGAAGGACACAGAGATGAAGTTTTGAGTGCTGTAAGTTTCCCTTATAAGAAAGTTCTGTTTTGTTTTGTTTGTAAAGCTTGCTGAATAGTTGGTTATGGTTTTCATCTTATGTGGAGAAAAAAACAAATTTGTCTTTAAAACCTTATTATAACACCGTGATTTGCTAAACTTTTCATAGTGTTACAAGTCTTAAATGTTCCAACACCAGTGTGACATTCCCTATACCAGTGTGTGCAGTTTCCCACCCTCCACGTCAGCCTGTCCCATTGAGGTACAAATTGACTTCATATTGTTTGTTATGACACAAAAATAAATGGAATTATCAAGAGTCAATTTGATAAAATTTTTCTGTGTCATGAAGGCTGGAGCGATAGCACAGTGCGGTAGGGTGTTTGTCTTGCATGCAGTCAACATGGCCGACCCGAGTTTGGTTCCTCCGCCCCTCTCAGAGAGCCCGGCAAGCTACCGAGAGTATCTCGCCCGCACGGCAGAGCCTGGCAAGCTCCCCGTGGCTATTCGATATGCCAGACACAGTAACAACGAGTCTCATGATGGAGACGTTACTGGGCCCACTCGAGCAAATCGATGAGCAACGGGAGGACAGTGACAGTTCTGTGTCACAAGGACTTTCCCAAAGCCGTTGAGGATGTGCTGAGTTGCTTGATATTAGGTGAGCCCTCAATGCCAGGGCCTGCCCCGGGGACTTCTGTGAAGCATTGTACTACGGGGCTGACAGGACTATGGATTTTTTTTTTTCTTTTTGGGTAACACCTGGCAGTGCACAGGGGTTACTTCTGGCCCTGCACTCAGGAATTACTCCTGGCAGTGCTCAGGGGACCATATGGGATGCTGGTAATTGAACCCGTGTTGGCCGCTTGCAAGGCAAACGCCCTAACCACTGTGCTATCGCTCCAGCCCCAGGACTATGAAATTTTTAAAATTATTTAAAAATTTTCCCTGGGGACAGGGGAGGTGTTTCTATGTCCCAGGAAATTATTAAAATTTCCTTTCCATTTACCCTGTTCCTCAGCTCTCTGTTCTCCTATTACTGGGGTCCCAGCACATGATCCCTTTACATAGGCAGCAGAGGCACAGCTCATACAGCTCACACATACCCTAGATGGTTTTGAAGCTCAGAGCCAACTTCTTGTCCCTTTTGACCGAGATTTCTCACTGTGGAACTGTGGGGAACACCACTGTGCTATCGCTCCAGCCCCAGGACTATGAAATTTTGAGGTGGTTCGCCACCCAGCAGGTATAGACCTGGAACAGTTTGGTGGCTTGGCAGTTAGAGATTCACCTGTGGAGCTGGCCCAGTCTATGTGGAGCGTGTGGTTGGGGCTGTGGGCTGCTGGGCTTTGGGGGGAAAGAAGAATCTGCCCCCGCTCCAAGGCTTCCCGGGTTCTCAGCCCAGACCAGTCTGCCGTGGAAAAATTGGCAGTATCATGTTTTCGGAGATGTGCCATTGGGTTGTTTCTCTCAAATGAAGTCTTTTTATGTTTTATGCACCATACACACTATTCTCAGAAGTATTACTACTTGCGTAATATTTTATTAATCTGGAATCACCAAGTTACCTTATATTTTGCTTAATTACAAATAAGGTTAAACTAGGTAGTAGTTCAGAAGTTTAAATACATATTTTTAGGAAGTGTTTTCTCTTCACACTGTTTTAGGTGACTTCTGATGATGTGTTTTAATTTTTATGTATTAAGATATGTTGGTATGTTGCAACAACAAAGTATCTTTAGTCAGGTTTCACTTTTTCACACTTAAAATTTCCTTTCCATTTACCCTGTTCCTCAGCTCTCTGTTCTCCTATTACTGGGGTCCCAGCACATGATCCCTTTACATAGGCAGCAGAGGCACAGCTCATACAGCTCACACATACCCTAGATGGTTTTGAAGCTCAGAGCCAACTTCTTGTCCCTTTTGACCAAGATTTCTCACTGTGGAACTGTGGGGAACACCTCAGTTTTGGGTGGGTGTGTTCAGAAGATGCTAGAGTTTGAAGTCAAGCTAGCCAGGCAAGCACTTCAGATTACTGAATTTTGCTTTGCTTGATTTGCCACATACCAGGTTGCTCCAGGATTGCTCTGGCTCTGTGCTTAGTGGTCACTCTCCACCATCCTGGGACTCACACCCAGATTTCTGTACTCCAGCCCTTTGAGCTGTCTCTTTGGCCATAAGTTACTGAGTCTTCAAACTTGTCTTGAAACTTAAATTGAATTTTCTAGAAATTGTAGTGTGGGTTTATGTATGTATTTATCACAGATGGGTAAGGGAGATAAGCACTCTTTCAATGTGGGAAGCCTGGGTTCAGCCCCCCCACCCCCACCCCAACACTGCTGCGAGCGGACCAAGCATTGTCAGGTTTGAGGGACATAGAAACACCTCCCCTGTCCCCAGGGAAAATCTTTGTTAGGACCACTGACTCCAATAGTGTCTTATTTTTCTTAACAATGAGGTAATTAAGAAAGTTGTAGGAACCAGAATTATGAATTCAGTAAACACCAAATTTTATTTATTTATTTCAATGAAATACCATGAGGTACAGTTGTAGACTTAAAAAATTTCGTGCTTCAGTTATACAACGGTTTCAGTTATACAACGATCAAGTACCCATCCCTCCAGGAGCCCATTCTCTCTACCACCAGTGATCCCAGTAGTCCTCCCACCCCCCCTCACTTTCTTTCCTTTAGGGTGCTGTAGTTTGCAATAGAGGTATTGAGTAGACATTGTGTTTGGTGTATAGTCTACTTTCAGCACACTTCTTATATCCCAAGCAAGTCCTCCAAACATCCTTTACTTGGAAAACACCAATTTTAAATGTTAGATATTGCAAAATAGTGCTTGAGATTAATTCAAAGATTAAATCAGCATGTCAGGGACCAGTGAGACCATTCAAAGCACACATGCTTTTCGTGCAGGAGTTTAGATTTGACCCCCAGCACCATATTAGTGAGGAAAACACCTTTCAGTCCAACTCCTTTGGTTTTGCTGTGCTGAATCTGAATTCAGTCTCACATGCAGAGCAGCTGTTCTGCCTCAAGCCATATCCCCAGGCTTGTGCTGTGGTTATTTTACTTTATTTTTGGGTTTTGGACCATAGTTGGGCATGCTCAAGAGGTTACCCCTGGCTCTTCACCCAAGAATTCCTGGGTCATATGGAATGCCAGGGATTGAGTCCAGTTTGGCCTTGTGCGAGGCAAGCACTGTCCCACTGTTCTGTCCCTGGCTCCTACTGTTGGGTGTTTATTTGGGTGTGGCATGGGGTTTCCAGATGCACAGGCCTCCCAGGCACGACTCCCAGTCGTGCCGTCAGCAAACCAGATGGGTCCATGCTTGGCCCTGCACCTCTGCCACTGCCTTTGCAGTCCTCTATGACCCCAGGGAGGGCCACCCAGTGGTTCTGGGGAGGATGGGGAAACTGCCAGTTCTTCATCCCATGGTGTTGGGGTCAAATGTGGGTCCTTGCATATGCTGGGGAAATTACCTGGGTTCAGAGCAATCTCCCAAGTCCCCTGTTGCTTGTTAAAATGTGAGCAAGAGGGACTGGAGAGGTAGTAGAGTGGGTAGGACTCTTACCGTGCACGCTGTCTGCCAGGTCTACCCAGAACCACATATGGTCCCCCAGGCACCACCAAGAGTAATTGCTGAGCACTGCTGGGTGTGGCCCCAAAGCCAAAGAAAAAAATAAGTGACAGCAAGAGTATTACCTCCTCTGACATAATAGTGTACTGATAATTGGATTGATGTGTGCATTAAAACATGTACCATTTCATTAATACATGTTCTGGGTTTAATTTCATTTCTGCACTTCTGAAATAAAGTTGAGTAGGTTCATTAGAATATGTGGTTTGTTAGGTGCCTTTTAAATCACGAAATTAAAAAGTTAAAATTAAGTATTTTTGAAGTTTTGGCTGTGAATGGCTCAACCCACTGCATAATGTGATTGAACCCCCACTCATTTTTTTTTTCTTTTTCAGTTTTCTGGGTGGGTAGGTGGGTGTGTGTGTGTTTGGACTGTTCAGTCCTGGGTCAGTGCTTGGGAGACGGTGCTGTGGCTGTGCAGAGCCTGTCTCTGAGCCCTCGGTGCTTTCTAGCCAGTGGTGCACTTTCAGAGCCACCAAGACAAAAACCAGTGGAGCTAAAATAGTTTGACTTAGATATGTAGATAATACGAATCTTCAGTTTTTTTTTTTAATTTATTTTATAAAGAAGTTCACAATACTCAAATTCCAATCCCACCACCATTCCCTTCCCACCACCATATTTTGGATGTTTCCATTGTGAACCCCAATCCCTGCAGCAAAGGGAAACCGAAATAATATATTTTATATAGTTTTTTTTTTGTGAAAAATCGCTGAAAATGCTACAAAAAAGTGTCCTTAGAGGAGAGAGTTTAAAGATTGTTGCATTTCACCTAGGGGCTATTAAGCCCTTCTGTACGAGATCATTAACATGTTAAAGGTTGAGCCTTGTGTGTTTTTTTTTATGATTAAATTTTTTTTTAATGATTTTATTTATGGAGCGATAGCACAGCGGTTAGGGCGTTCGCCTTACAAGCGGCCAACATGGCCGACCCGAGTTCGATTCCTCCACCCCTCTCGGAGAGCCCGGCAAGCTACCGAGAGTATTCGATATGCCAAACACAGTAACAACAAATTCTCCAATGGAGATGTTACTGGGCCCGCTCGAGCAAATCGACGATCAACGGGAGGGCCTTTACCTTTACCTTTACCTTTTTATTGAATCACCGTGGGAAAGGTTACAAAGCTTTCAGGTTTAGGTCTCAGTCATGCAAATATCAAACACATTTCCCTTTACCAAAACTTATTTTTTACCATGAAGAACCCCAATAAAACCCCACCCCCACCCCTCCCAGTCCCTGTGAGGCAGATGAATTCTAGTTAACACTCTATCTGCTTTGATTAGATTCATTGTTTCAATAAAAGATTCACCACTATTATTTAGAGTTTACCCCCCCACCCCCCAAAACAGACATGCTGACAAAGCATTGTGAAGTG